AATTTGAACTTACATCTTTCGTTACCTTTTCTTAGAAATACTTATACCATTATGATCTCAGTTCTGTGCTATAACCATTTCTTGCTTTGTCTTTGCTTAGAACAACGTAGGCCTAACCAACAGTCTAGTTCTCAATTTGACCTTTGCGCCCATTTATTTTCTAACCCTTTCCCGGAAACCAACTTTTTCTTTTCTTTTCCTTATTCTTTTCTAAGAAATCTACTGTGATGTCAATTCCCTTGTCGTTTCTTAGAAATCTATCGTCACAAAAAGCTGCACGTCTTAGGCTGATATTTTTTCCCGACAGAGTACCTGACCATATCAGCGCAAAAACTTTTCAAGCTGATTCGTACACAGTGAGGAAAGATACGACTTTAGCGGAGGACAATCGGACATCAAGCAACCACAAGCAGCACCACAGCTACTCCGTACAATGTGTTATCAATAGGCCTACCCGTTTTGTGACAGGTCCCACTGAATGCGGTGACAAACTTGATTTCAATTAACATGCCATTATGCAGAGGTTTGAGGTTTAAATCCTAGTTAAGTTCAACATTTTGTCATCCTTTTCCCCTCCATTGCCAATAACTTCTTCAACTCTGTAACCCCTTTCACTAAGGCCTACTTATCCCCCCCCCCTTTTCCTTTTTTGGTGTCCAATTGTGGCACGTGTACTCGAAAACAGCACGTTAGAAACATGGCATAATATAACGATACAATTCTCTATTTAGAAGAAAAAAACAACAACAAAATTGTTGAAATAAAACCAGCATCCCCACATCACAGCTGAAGCAGCACTCAAAAGAAAAGGTGCCTTATAAAAGGGGCAAACTCTACTTACATTGTAAACTTATACCGTTTTCAACACACTGTCATAAAAGGCAGGGCCTTTGTCTCTGAACGAATGTATTCCCAAAAAGGTCGAGGGGGGGGGGATTAAGGTTGAGACAATCCAAAGAAGGAAACGTCATTTCAAAGATTCAAACGGGATCACCCGCAACAATGTAGCATTCGGTGACTTAACAGTGGGGCTTAAGTCATTCAGGCTATACTTTTGATATATGAACCCGAGAAAAGTGGCGGAGAAAAGGGATACGTATCTGACAGTAAACACGTATTTAGATATATTGCGGTCAGTTGCATATCTGTGGCATCTGAAAGGGAGCATAATGTTATATTATTGTTGCATGCCACCTTCTAGTCTTCTTTTCTCAGTGGTGACATTTCGCTACCTTAGAAGTACAAAGTTCTATCTGCTCAGTACCTAGTTTAATGAAATTTGACGTCAAAAGTTTGGAGTTTCACGATATGCCAAGATTTTTTCGTGTAATTCGTTGCATATCTTGATAACGATTCCGAATTATCTTTCGATTTTGATAGAGTGGACAGAGCATAATAATATAATGGTTTCTGATCTCACGGTCTTAGTAACTCAAAACGGCCTGAAGTGTCAGATAGAACTTTGTAATTCTGAGGTAGCGATTTATAGGTGCTGGAGATTTGCCGTGATCTTAACATTGTTGTGTACAGAATGTATTTGCTTCTCTTATACAATATGTACTTAGTTTTTATCGCACTACACAGGAAAATAACCAGCATTTACATGACTCTAATGTTAATGATTTGTAAATAGTTTGATGGAACTTCTCATTAAAAGAACTTTTCAAATCAAACTCTGCGAATGTTAGTCCTTATCGTTTGTTCTGTCCGAACTTAAAGCAGACGCAGACTGGTTATTGCAAGGAGGAGGTGACATTTTCCTTGGATGTTACCCTATTTGCCTGGGTTTAAAAAAGAGGGGGGTTGGGTGGGCAGTAGGAAGAGAGAGGAAAGAACAGAAAAAAAGAAAACCTCAATCCATCTTATATTTTATTCCACATGAATATGGAACCTCCAAGCTTCTTGTCCTTTTCTGAGTCGACCAGGTTTGGACCCACCTGACCTATCCACTGCTCAGTGGGAATGAAGAATCTGAGAAAACTGTCATGCTATATACTAATCATGCCAGCACTCAACTAGGGATCGAACCAAGTCATTTGATATGTAAACGTAAACCACGTACACTATCTCAACGTTACTAAGCCCCCAACAAAGAAACAGAAAGGGAAGAAAGATGCAAGCAAACAGCTTTAGTAAACGTCTAGGAACTTCCTGACTCATGTATTTGCCAGCAGTGTATAGCACAAATCGTTTATCAACACATGAAACGTCCTCAGGAAAAACAAAATTCAATCAATCAATGAAGCCAATGAACAAAGCAATGATGTTTCCCATTAGAAATGTGTGTTTGTGTGTGTGTGTGTGTGTGTGTGTGTGTGTGTGTGTGTGTGTGTGTGTGT